AATAAAATAAAGACTAATTTGTATCATATTTTATATTTAAAAATTCAACTTATCAAAAATTATAAAGAAATTATATTATAATTTGATCAATTATATTATAATTTGATCCTCTTTAGTAGTTAGTATCTATTCTTCTACCAACTCTTCATGAGAGTTGGGTATCACAAAAAGAGTTTTATATGTTTATTGAAAATTTTATTTTATAATATAAATTATATCAAATTATTAAATAAAAATTAAATATTAAAAAATTTAATTTGATTGCATAATTTTTTTTTTTCATCGATGATAGCTAATTTGGGGGCCACATGATAAAAGATAAGAAAGACTTCGGATGATATACGTAAATTAAAGTTGCTTGGAATTGTATATATATTTTTTAGTTAAAATTTTGAATTTGATGTATTGGTTCTGGTCATAGTTGGCATGTCATACCAATACTCAGTATTAATTGGTATATGAAAAATCGCCTCTCTTATTAGAGTGAGGCCATGACTTAACCTCCTCTCTATCTCACAATCTGCAATGGATCCTTTTCTAGACTTTTGTTCTAGCGGAAACGGACCGTTAGTGCACAACAATTTGTCTAGGTAACTTCTGCATCATTGCTTATGTTTTCGTTTTATGTGTGATAATTTTCAGATGTGTCATAACGAAAATTAAATGAGACTCATACCTGGTCCCAAATTAATCCCAGTCCAAGCATCACATTTCTTTCAAAATGTTGTTTTCGTCATCAATATAGTGTTTGAAAAGAAAATGCAACGATAATTAGAGAGAGAAATTTCTTATCCATGCCACTGAAATATGAGACCCACATAGCAGATTTTTTTTCCCCATCAAAGTATAATACATTTGACAAATGCTAGATTGTTTCTACCTAACATTCTCCAACTCACTCACAAAGCACATCAACACCAATATATATACATATAGTATTTATTACTATTACTGTTGTAATTTTCTAGTTCTTTTGCTCTTTCCATGCCTCCAAAGTTGTATTCAGAATATTTGTGGATTGTAAAGCCTGTCTGTTCCAATTATTAATCCGCTTACAGCCTCCCCAATTTTCGATTTGGGCTCAACCTAACTGTCTTCTTTTTTTTAGAAAAAAAACATCAAGAACGGCCCAATATACTAGAGTTGGACTTTAGGTTGGACCAAGAAACTGACATCTAGGGCCTCAGGCCCATGCATAGAGGAGCCTTCTTTGCAGCATTCAATCATCATGAAGATAAAATGGAAAGACCAAATTTAATGACCATTATATTTAGAAATTCGACTATCCTAGGCCCTAGCGTATCTGGTCTTCATGGTTTCGACGGATTACTAACTTCTGAGCTCAATTGAAACTCGGCCTTCCGCATTGGTCCTAGGTTCTACTGCTATTTATAATCTGATCTTTCAAACTATTCTTTAATATTGCTCCTAGTAATTGATTTGTCTTAATTTAAAGAACTGTTAGATATAACGACATAAAACTAATGGTTAGAGATTATAAATTAACTATATAAAATGTCATTCAATAAGTATATAAATATAAATATATATATGTAAGTTATCTAGTATATGTTAGGTTAAGTACTAGGTATAAATTTTTAAATATTTGGATAAATATCAAATTTTAAAAAAAATTTATATGTAAATTTTTAAATTAAATATCAAATATATTTCATACCGATGGTAAGCGAAAATGCTCACCCCCCTATTATGATCCTAACTCTAGCTCAATAAGATAGCCCATAGTCATCGAAACTAAGGCCCAATTAATATAAATTAATAGTTTAGCCCAACAAGAATTAAACCAAACTTATATGGACTAAGCCCACAATTTAAATTAGCAAACCATTATAATATATATAAAATACTCATAAAAATTAGTAAAAGTACATATGAAGTTAATTAAAAATTAAATATTTATATTTTTAGATAAACTGCCATGTGAAAAAAGGTTTGCTCAAAGTATTGTGAAACGAAGCTAAAGTTAAAAAAAAATGAAAAAAATTATGCCAATTATAAGAGTCAAACTCTCAACTCTCAACTTAATAAACCAGAGACCCAAAACAACTAAGGCCGGTTTGGTAGTGCATTAGTAAATTCAACTTTTTGATAT